GTGAGGGGTGTGCCGACATGGGCATGCGGTGGGCGGGGTGGGCGCATGTGGGCGCTGCCACTGGAGCCTTCGGTGGAGCGCCCTATGGAGCAACGAATCGTGTGACAGGTGTGCCGACATGGGCACACGGCGTGCGGGGTGGGCGCATGTGGACGCTGCCGCTGGGGCTTTGATGGAGTTCAATATTGGGCCACGAACGGTGTGAAGGGGTGTGCCGAAACTTACATGCGGAAGTCACAGGCACGCAGGGGGGAAGGAGGAGGAGGAGGAGGAGGAGGAGGAGGAGGAGGAGGAGGAAGGAGGAATGAACGCGGGGCGCTGTCTCTCCACAGGTTGGGAACACATGCGAAACTCTTACAAAACAAATAACGTTAAGTAAATCAATGATTTTGGCTTCTTCGGGCCTTCCTGGAGAACCTGTTGGAGGCCTCTTGGGCCGTCTTTCAGGCCTCTTGGGCCGTGCTCGGCCACCTTTGAGCCGTCTTGGAGACTTCTTGGGCGAACTTGAGGGCATCTTGGACTCTCTTGTGCCGTTTCTGAGGCCATCTTGGACCATCCTTTGCGAACTTGGAGGCCATATTGGGCCTTCTTGGAGCCATCTGGACGGGACAAGTTTTGGCAACCACATCTTCCGGATGGCCGGCGGGACGGGCCGAAGCCCCAAGGGAGAGTTTTCTTTAGGAAAAAAAGCCAAAACCAAACCAGTAGGATCTCGCACGCCGGGCACCCCTTTGGCAAGACCACAGGGACGGCGGATCGAAGTCGCCTACGGCGAATCACCGCCGCCCCATGCATTTTGAAATCGCCCATGTGGCCGAGCGTTTTGGCAAGAGCTCTGCCAAGATATCGGACCATGTGTGCCCCCTGCCGTTGTGGAAACCCTTCGGGGAACATTTGGGGAAGGATGGCTTGAAGACCACGAGGAGGAGGAGAAGGATGAGGAGGAGGAGGTGGTACCTTGGGAGCCTCTTGGGGCACTCTTGGGGCCTGGGAGCTTCCTGGGTCCTCTTGGAGGCATCTTGGGGGCCTCTTTGGCCCGTGTGACGCCGTCGGCAGCCGTCTTGGGCGCCTCTCTCGGCCAACTTGGGGCCCTCTTGGGGTGTTCCAGTGGCGTCTTGGGGGCCATCTTGGGCGTCTTGGAGGCCATCTTGGGCCGTCTTGGGGCTTTCTTGGGGCCATGTCGGGAGCCTCTTGGGATGTTGTGGGGCCATTTTGGAAGCCGCTTGGGTGATCTTGGGACGATCTTTGGGGGCTCTTGGGCCGTCCCGGACCGTCGGAAGGCCGGAAAGAAACAGATGCCCCAATCCTTCAATAACCGTAGGATAATCAATTATTGTAACATCTTTGGGCCGTCCTGGATGCCCTCTTGGAAGCCTCTTGGGCTGTCTAGGAGTCCAGTTGGGGGCCTCTTGGGCCGTCTTGGGCCACCTTAGATCCATCTTTCGCCGTCTTGATTGCCTCCTCTCCTCCTCCTCCTCCTCCTCCTCCTCCTCCCTCTGGCCCTCTTGGGGTACTCCAGGGCAGTCTTGGAGGCCATCTTGGGCGTCTTGGATGCCTCTTGGGGCAGTCTTGGGGGCCGCTTAGGCCGTTCTGGGGCCATCTTGGAGGCCTCTGGGGCGATCTTGGAACGAAAGTTGACGGCTCTTGGGCGAAGGCCGCAAATGAATACATCCCCACATCCTTCAAACATCTCAGGAACATTAATGATTTGGGCCTCGTCGGGCCTTCCTGGAGGACCTCTTGGAGGCCTCTCTGGCTGTCTTGGAGGCCTCTTGAAGCCTCTCAGGCCCTATGCCGTCATCTTGAGTCCATCTTGGGCCATCTTGATTGCATCTTGGGCCGTCTTGGAATATCGAGGCCAGCTTAGCCGTCTTGGCAGCCATCTTGGAGGCATCTTTGAGGCCACTTTGGCGGTCTTGAACGCCATCTTGAGCCGTCTTGGGAGAATGTTGAGTAGAATTCGGCGCCTTGCGGTCCCTTCCGGGTGGTCGGCGGGACGGGCCGCAGCCCCAGGGGAAGCTCTCTTTGGAAAAAGAACCAAATCCAAACCAGTAGGGTCTAGCACGCCAGGCACCCCTGTGGCAAGCCAACAGGGAGCGGCGGATATGGTGGCCTTCGGCCCACCCCGCCACCGTGCCTGCGTTATAGGTCAGACGCCTCCAGGATTCTTGTGAGCTTGGGGAGCCACTTGGATGCCTCTTGGAGGCGGTTTGGGGCTTATTTGGGCCTCTCGGGGCCTTTGGGGCTGTGGGGCACCTCCGGGGCTTCTGGGGGATCTTGGGGCTATCTTTGGGCGGAGGTGTCAAAAAGTCACTTCGGGTTTCCATCCTGGGCCTCTCTTGGGGCTGTCTCGAGGGGCTCATGGGCCCCTCTTGGGGGCTTTCGGGTCGTTTTATGGTGGCCTTAGGCGCCTCTGGGCCGTCTCGGACACCCTGCCATGCGAAAACCATAGAACACCAAAAGGCGTTGACGATCTCGGCTTCTCTGGCCGCCCTCCAGGGCCCCCACCACGGCCCAAGAGGCGCCCAAGAGGGCCCCAGTGAGGCCCCAGGGGCCTTCTGAAGCCATGCTTAAGTTGGGCCCGTCCCTCCACAGGAGGAATATTAAAAAATGCAAAAAAATAGTCTGGGGACTATTTTTTGACAAGTGTTTGTCCATTTGGGCATATGTTTGGAGTATTTTGTTATGTTTCGTCGAAAATCCCCCTGTGGGGGGACACGCCCCACTTGAAGCCATGCTGGACATGCGTGTCCCGAACACCGCGCCCCTGGGCCTCCCGAGAAGTCACGCGGGGACCCCGCGAGAGAGCGCGCCCGCGAGCGCCCGGAGATCGACCCGGAGCGGCGGGCCCCCTTTCTCTCAGCACACGTGCAGCACTCCGCGCGGCGACCTCGGGAGGACTTGAGGACCCTGGCCCTCCTCCTCCTCCTCCTCCTCCTGCACCTCCTCCTCCTCCTCCTCCTCCTCCTCCTCCTCCTCCTCCTCCTGCTCCTCCTCCTCCTCCTCTGGGCCTCCCGCGGAAGATTCGCAAGGGCCCAGCGCCCGGGCCTGGCCTCCTGGATGGGGCTCGGCCCCCTCGCCTCCTGCCTGGCTGGCGCCCCCCACGCGCCGCCGGCCTCCGAGGCCGCCCACAGCGGGCACACTTCGCCTGGCCGCGGCGGCCGCAGTCGCTGCGGCTCAGGGGCTGCGTGCCGCCGGCACGCCGACAGAGGCACGGCCACGGGCACTCGCACCCAGCACGCCCACCTCTGCAGCATCCTGCGCCCGAGGACGACGCTCCAGCTCGTGCCTCAGTGCACGCTGGCGGGCACGGTGGTGCGTGCTTCGTTGTTGTAGAGTTTGGTTCGCTCGTTTTCCCTGTCGGTTTAGTTATGTGCTCTGACACACCAGAGAGAGAGACAGAGAGAGAGAGAGTGAGAGACAGAGAGAGGGAGAGAGAGAGAGACGTAGACGTAAGCCGGAACTCGGGTTTACCGATGTTTTTGACGAGCGCGTCCTGGATTTAGTCGGTCCAGTTTTCGTGGGATGTTTGCAGCGGGAGTTCGCGTCAAATCTCAGATTGGGTCTCGTCATTTTTATGATGGCCCCGTGCTGCTAACCCGAGTCCCCCGTAACCGAGTCGTAAGTCTCCCCGATCCTCCTCCTTCTCCTTCTCGATTCGATTCCAATATTCCGACGATCAGATGCGGTCCGACGTTTGCACGGCGCTGGTGTGCATCTTGGCGCAACCTCTCCGGTTCGATTCCGACTCCATGCCGATGCGGCCAGATTCGCTGCGCACTCCGATCCGACTCGGATTCCCGCTTGGATGCCGACCGGTCTTGCCTCATCTCCGCGCCCCTGCAGGGCCCACGGCGGCGTGATCCCGGGCGAGGCGCCCGCGGCAGTGGAGCAGCGACGTGCCGCAGTCAGCTTTCGCAGCACGCACATGGCGCGCCCTTTGATGTCGGAGGCTGGTAGCACGTGTTCATCCTCTCGGGGGGGAGAATCTTTTACTTTCGCCGCCTTCCGCCGAGCTTCCGCCGGAGGCGGCCTCGTTCTACTTCCGCCGACCTCCCGCCGAAGAAGAGACGACAACTCCTCCCATCCTCGGGGGCAGGGTCCTTTTTTTGGGACGCCCCACGCCACGTGAGGGGCGAGCTGAGGCGACGGCAGCCGGGTCTTCGGTGGGGCCCCTCGCCGCCACGGCCGGACGCCGCTCGGACAAATTGGTGCGTTTGGACCCCCGGGGGGTGTCTCCCCAGGGACTGCCGTGGAGAGCCGCCGAGGTCTCATTTCGCCCTGCTCCGACAAGTGGGAGAACAGTCTGGGGACGATCTTTGGATCCTTTTCGATTCTTTGATGGGTATGTTCTGACTATTTTTGATTTTTCGTCCCAAATCCGCCTGTAGGAGGACATGCCCGACCTAACAGTAGATTCCCCCCTTCCTTCCTGCCAGGTCGACTTGCGAAGTGCCCCCTTCGGTTCCCGAGGGGATGCTCCGGCCGCGTGGGTTGCGGTCCTGTACCCGCCACTGCTGGTTTCGGGCCGTTCTCACTAGAGGGCATGTTGCTCAAGGAGGTTACGACGTCCTCCCCCGAGGATGATTATTTCATGCATCTCCTAGTGTCAGTGTTTTCCTCGCTGACAGACCAGAGCATCACGCCTGACGCCTTACACGGCCTTCGGTGCCGCTGCGCATCCCACGTGCCAGTTCTCTCTATGTATGATGTTGCCTTGGGGGGACGGGGGAGGACAGGGAGGAGGCGGGGTTGGATGGGGGGAGGGCAGGGGGGAATGGAGAGCAGCAGGCGGAGGGCAGAGGGGATGATTGCCTTCGCCTCGGGTGGCCGACTCCTTGACCGGTCTCTGCAGCCGTGGCTCCGCGATCGTGGACTTGCGTGGACACCACGCCGGCAGAACTTTGGCAAGAACGCCACGTCAAGGGGTACCACTTCCGACGGCGTGGTCGAGGGCGGTGGCGAGGGTGGCACCGCGGCATGCCACCCCTCCTCGGCCACGGCTGGGAGGCCTGCCCTGCCCTGTGGTGGAGAACGCCGCGCCGTCCCCGCGCGCTCCTCCACGCCGTGCTCCTCGTCTCTCCTGCTCCTCGCTCCTCCATCCTTGCCCCCCAACCTGCCCCTCGTCTCTCTGGCTCCTCCCTCCTCCCCGCCTCGTCCCCCCCCGCTCCTCCTCCCGCCCCCCCCACCCCCCATGGCACGCTCTGTCCCCGCCGCCGGCCGCCGCTGCGACCCGGACTGCGGCGTGCGCCCTGGAGCCCCGGGGGGCTCGAGGGCCTCGGGGCCCGCTCGCGGGCCTGCGCCCGCCCCGCCTCCCCGAGATTCCTTTTTCGGCGGCGAGCGAAGGGGGGCAAAGACTGCCCTTCACACCAGGCGCCTTCGCCCCGATTCTGGCCCCCACGTGATGGGCCGGCTGTCCACCACCACCACCACAAGTTGGAGGAGGGAAGGAGGTGGAGGAGGAGGAGGAGGAGGAGGAGGAGGAGGAGGAGGAGGAGGAGGAGAGGAGGAGGAGGAGAAGAGGAGGAGGAGGAGGAGGAGGAGGAGGAGGAGGAGGAGGAGGAGGAGGAGGACCCCCTCCCCCTCCAACTGATGGTGGTGGTGGTGGTGGTGGTGGTGGAAACCAAGCCCATCACCACGGGGCCCGCGCGACGGGTGCCGCAGAAAGACGAGGCCTCCCGAGGGGCCAAGGAAGGGAGTCCGCGGGTGGGCCTCCCGAGGGCTTCCGCAGGAGGCCTTTCGCCGCGGCCGGCGAGCGGGGAGGGGCGGAGTCAGAAGGAGAAGGCCACCAGGCTGCGAGGGTCCCAGCACCAGTGCCAGTCTCCAGTTCCTCCTCCTCCTCCTCCTCCTCCTCCTCCTCCTCCTCCTCCTCCTCCTCCTCCTCCTCGTACGAAGTTCGGTAGCGAGCGAGGGGGGGAAGTTTGAGAGGGAGAAGGCCCGCTTAGAAATCGGCGGGACTTTGCAGAAGCCCTCCGGCCTTCTGCGACGTTTTCTGCGTCTTCGGGGAAGGCGTAGAGCGCTTCTCAGAAGGCCAGGGGACCTCCGAGCCTTCTGGGAAGGCCTTCTCCTTCTCGCTTCCCCCCTCGCTCGCCGCCGATCCTTCAAGTGGGGGAACCAAGAAACACAATCACGGTAGGTTCGCGTCGTGTCGACCAGCGGCGACCCCAGCGCGGGCAAAGGTGGAACGCCACCTATAGCCCAGAGTCGGCCCATCGTTAAGGATCCGGCGTTTCTGAAATGGCCGAGCGTTCAAGTTTGAACGATCCCCGCGGTGTCAGGAACCAACGCCGGGGTGGACACGACGCGAACCTTCAAGTGATCGTTCTCTGATGTATTGTTTTGCCGATCAGCGCGGGCCCTCGCACCTCCTCCCCCCCCATAGAGTAGATCTTGGCTGTTTTCGGCGGCTGTCTCGAGCAGGTGGAGTCCCTCCCCGCAGGACGCACGTGTGGCAAACAGTCGCATGAAGCAGAGGTCCAGAGCCAGACCACCCCCCTTCCGCCCAATGTCGAAACGCCGAGTAAGAAACCGTTCACCAAGTGGGGAAGGCCAGAAACATAACTATCGGGTTGGGAGGATGGTGCTGGGAGACATGACCAAATCATCCGTATCATGCTAGGCCTGCTAGACGGGGTCGAAGCAGATGGGGTCCGAGGATCGCACCGCGTCGCCGATGCATCGCCGATGCGGCTCGATTTGGCGCCCGATTTGCTTCCCGTCGACGTCGCCGATGCATCGCCGACGTAGACGATGCATCGCAGGTGCATCGACGACACATCGCGGAGGCATCGCTGATGCACCGGCGATGCGGCGCGATCCTGAGACCTCATCTCCTCCAACCCCCTCTGGGAGGCCTCTCGTAATCGAGTATGTTGGGCGGCCTTCTTACACACTCGTTCAGGAGGGGAAACAACAAACAGACAATTCATCGTCGGTCCCCCGAAAAATATTGGGAAATATGGGAAGTGGGGGGAAGACGAAACTCCAGAAAATATGAAACAAGATTGGGAGTCTTGGGTCTTGTGTCTATTTAGTTGTGTGCCCCAGGCTCTTCACTCGTGCCTTGCATCTTGCCGATCCCGTCCTCCCAAGACGATAGTTGTCTCTCTCGGCAGGGGGGGGGGGAGGGGGCGAGGGCGCGGCGGCCGCCAGCTGCAGCCTCGTCCTCTCCTGTGGAAAGGCAGCGCGTCTCCACCCCCCGCTCGGCCCCAGCCAGGGAGCATCGGCTCCCGACTGGTGATCGTTTTTGTTGCCCTTGTTTTGCCGATCGGCGCGGGCCCCCCAGTCCCCCCTCCTCCCCCCCCCCCATGGAGTAGATCCTGGCTGCTTCTGGCGCCTGTTTCGAGCAGGTGGGGTCTCCCCTCGTGGGACGCACTGTTGCAAACAGCCGCACCAAGCAGAGGTCTGGAGCCAGACCCACCCCCTCCATTTCCGCCCACTGCCAAAACGCCGAATAGAAAGAAACGCTCACCTGAGGGGTCTCACAGAAAGGGCACGAAAGTTCTACCCCCGCCACCCCCACCCCCACGTAATATAGCGACCTCGCGGCGCGACGGCCACACTTCTGCAAAAAAGTTGCCGCCGTCTCGTCACCGTGGGCGCGATGTTTCGCATCATCCCAGATGATCGGGAGCGTTTGCTCAGCGTTTCGCGCCGCCAGTTCTGGCCCACCGCGCTTTGGCAACGGCACGAAAAGCACGTCAGGAGCTCCAAGGCGTCAACGCCCTCAGCTTTTCCCGGCCTTCCGCGCCGCGAGGCAGAGCGGCATGCCAAACGCATGCCGGGCACGACGTCTTGCTGGGGCCGCCGCCTCGTTCCTGATCGTATTCGTCTCGTATCGTGTTCCTGGGGCCGCCGCCTCGTTCCGCCTCTAAGCAAGAGCTCCTGATTGTATTCGTTCACTTCCAGGTCACCGACGCCGTGATTGTCTCACGACGTCGCCTCCCAGAGGTCCAGACCCCTTTCCGTGGGAAACCGTTTTTTTCCCCCCCCCGGGGCGATTCCTGCTGAGCCCGGGGCCCAGCGCATGGCCCCGCGGGCCAAGAGCAGTCCCAAACACCTTTCGTCGTGATTATTGTGAAGGCCTGACGGCCGGTGCCGCCGACCCTGAAAGACATCGAGGAGGAGGAGGAGGAGGAGGAGGAGGAGGAGGCAGAGATAAGGAGGAGGTCGTCGTGATTCTTCTTCCCGGCGGGAGGAGGTGTACCAAATTACACTTCGTAGCTGCATCCCCCGCAACCAAAAATCAACACAAGGCACCCCTCTGCAGCCCAAATCGCCTCTACATGAGGCGACATGCCTTTGGATGCACGGACGCGCGGGCCACAGACACCATGTGCAAAATCACAGGCTGTTTTTGGCGCGCGACTTGGTGCCGCGCGCTCTTGTCGTCTTCTTCGGTAGGGCTCGCCCAGCGGCTGCCTTCGGAGCACCACCACCTGCAGCCCTCCTCGCCAGGTGGGCCTCGGCGTGCCGACGCCGCCCGCCGCGCCCCCGGCGCCGCCCCCTCCGCGCGCGGGCGCGGCTCCCCCGCCGCACGCAGCGAGCGCGGCGGCGCCCCCCGTCGCCGAGCCCGGCGCCGCGGGCGGAGTGGCGCAGCAGTGGCCGGCCCGCGCGTCAGGCTCGGACGCCGCCCGCGCCGCGCTGCTTCCGTGACCTCAAGTCGGGCCTGTGCCTCTACAGGAGAGGTGCTCAAGGATAGAGTCAACAACCACTCTGGGGACGATGTTTTGTTTTGCCTTGTGTTTTCTTTTTTGTTGTGTTTTATAATACTTTGGGGGGGTACTTTTTATGTTTCGCCCAAAATCCCCCTGTAGGGGGACACGGCCGATTTAACAGTAACTTCGAGGCGCAGACAAGGGGCATGAACATAGAAACTGTCGGCGGTCCGCGCGGCTTCCTCGGATCCGCGCCGTGGGGCCCCCTGTGGCGGCGCCTCCGGCGCCGCCCCCCGGCGCGCTCCGCGCTCCCCGCGCCAGGCACGGGGGGTTCCAGCCCAGATCCCAAATCTCCGCGCGGACCTCCAAGAGTTTATGTTTATGCCGTCTTTCTCTTCCTTCATAACCTCGCGCAGCACGTGCAGCGCAGGGGGCGGTGGACCGTCTCCCCCTCCCACCATCATGGTCGGAGGAGGACAAGGTACCCATGCCGCTACCCGTCGCCGCGTTTTGACTTTCTAGGGGCCTCCCGGGAGGCCCTCGTCGCCACCGCTGGATTCGCCTCGAAGCTCTGGTCCGAACGCACCCCAGCAGATGTCCGGGGAGTAGGGGTATCGGTACCTTTTGGTTTGCCCACATGGGGGGATGCGAAATCCTTGTAGACGGGACGGGGTGGGAATGGGCTGGCATCATGAGCTGGTCCACCACCCCTTAAACAAAAACATCATAGTTCGTTCATCCTGTGTGCGCAAGACAGATCTACTGACGGATCCAATCCCGTCACCATTCATTGGCATCAGACCCGTTCGAAGCAGCGTGCTCTCCCCTCACGTCGTAAATTGAACCCGGCAGGACCCAACTCAGGAGAAAGCTCCTTAAGTGAGTGCGAGTGTATGTCTAAGTTCGGATGCATGTGCGTGCAGAGGTGTGTGAGCGAGTAGGGGGGAATGTGCGAGTAAGACCAAGGCACCATGGCACCGCCTCGCACTTCAGGAAGCAAGACCAAGGACCCCCCAGGGGACACCCACGCAGCGACACGCGACTGGGGAGCCCCGAGGGCCGCCAGCACAGCTCGCCGACCGCACCCGCCGGTTCTCTACAAACAGCTAAGAATCCGTGCAGGCAAGCCGAGTTGGGTAAGAGTCAGGACGGAAGGCTTTGAGGCATGTTTGGCCTCTGGCGGTCTGCGCGGGGCCCCGGGACCCTTCGACTAATCACTCGGGATGAAGACGTGATTTTGCGGCATGGGTCCGGAGCTCCGTGGACCCTGCACTCACAGCAGGGCATCGGAGGTCTGGGCAGCGCAGAGGATGCCGTTTTGCCCGCGCCGAGGCTCCCAGATTTCTGTGGGATGTCGGGTGCTTTCTCGGCAGGTGGGCAAAACAGCACTGTAACCGCAGCTGGTTGGAAAACGCAGCGCGTTCAGACATGGGGGAGCGGAGTAGGAAACGCCATGCCCTGATCACTGGCAATCTGTTTTTTGAATGAAGCACGGGGGCCATCAGAAACCAACTCGGGATGATACGTTGCTCTTGGCGAGGGCCCAGGGTCAAGGACCTGTTTCGCTTAGGACCCGCTCTCTTCATGCCTGAAAGGAATGAAGTCTAGAGACGAACACTAGTCGACCGAGGGTGCTTGCCTCTGGGGATCCTGCCTTGCCAGCGGCCCACGGGAAGGAGGAGGAGAAACAGAGGGAGGAAGCTGCAGGAGCAGAAGAGGAAGGCGGGAGGAGGAGCTGCATCGCCGCTCGTGCCCACCACGACCGCAGATCCATACACACAGCAGGGGGTTGTCGGGAGCTTGCTCAGCGTGCCGCGCCACTGGTCCTGGCGCACCACGCCTCGGCGCGACGCGCGAACCACCAGGTCCCCGAGCCTCAGCGGTCCGAGCCTCTTCCCCGGCCTCCCGCCGCGCAGCGCGGAGCGGCACGCTGTCAGCCCGCAGGGCACAGCCTGTGGCCGGGCCGCCAGCCGCGGCGCCCGGCGCAGACGCCCCTGTCGCAGATGGCTGCCGACGGGGCAGAGCCGCGCCTCCGCGTGGTCGGTTGTCGAATCGAGGGCGAGGGCGCCCGGGGGAGCGTCAGGGTCGGGAGTCCCCGTGCGTGTTTCCCGCCACAGCTCAAACAACAGGTGCACAGGGTGCAGCCTGCAGCCAAGACTGGCCTGTCCAGGATGAGCCTCCGAAGCGAGGCGCCGCCCACCCTTGAATCCGCCGTCGGTGCCTGGGCATCCCTGGGTATCCCTGGCATGCTGCTGCTTCCTCGGCACGAGGGTTTCCCTAGCATCTTGGCGGGCACCGTGGGGCCTGGATCCTTAGACTCCATGGTGCTCAGCATCCTTGACATGAGTCTGCTTCCTCGGCCCAATGGTACCCTGGCATCTTAGCGCGTTCAATATGCCTCAAATCCTTCTACTCCATCCTTCCAGACGTTGTGAAGGGAAGAACCTTGCCCAGATTCAGATTCAGAATCGCCGCTTGTCGGCTGGCGGGGGCTGGGAGGAGCAGCTCTGGCTTTTGGGGTCTCGGGCCCCGCGCAAGATGAGAGCGAGGGGGACGGCATGGGGGGGACGGCAGAGGGACACGAGGTCGGAGGGGAGAAGGGTGAGGACTGGAACCTGCTTTCCCCGCTATTGATGCCTGTAGGAGAAAGAACCATCCTAACCAACGTTGGCCGAATGGTTGGCCCGGGTTGGCCCAAAAGTTTGGTTGTGTTTGGCCCGATCGAGGGTTGTCTTGGGTTCTGACACTTCTTCAATAGGGCGCTCTTTGCATCATTAACATATAGCACCTCTCCCCATTCCCCCTTCCCCAGACCTCCGATGCCTGATGTCTTGATGTTTTTCACCGCGGGCCCCCCGAGAGTTTGGGACCGCTTCCCTGGGACGGGTTCTTCGTCCCGGTCTTGTTTGTGGACGGTCCCGGGGCCCGGCGAGGGCCCCAAGAGGCGGAAACACGGCAGATGGTCGCCGTCGTGTTTGTTTGTTCGACGCGTTGGAGGTCTGGGCCCCGCTTCCCCTCCTCCTCGCCCTCCGCCTCCCCTCCCTCGAGGGAGGGGAGGCAGAGGGAAGACGGCCGCCTGGAGTCGGCGTCACCCCAGCCTGCTCATACTGTGTGAGTGGCCCCTCCAGGGGCGACGCGCGCACCGAGGTATGTTGTAGTATACGCGTCGTGGCGGGCGCCTTCTGGCCACGCCGCTCGGGAAACGATCTACGACAAGATGGGTACACTACATGTGTGCTCGGGTCGGAGGCGTGCCTCCAAGGAGGACCTCTGGTATTCAGTGTGCCTCTGCGCGCCCCACGGAGCCCGCGCCCCAGGCGGCTGCAGCGGGCCCCCGCCGCCGAGCTCCCAGCCGCACGCCTCGGGCGAGGTGGACGAGCTGCGCCGGCGCCGGGGCCCCGGCATGCCGAGTGGTGCGTCGGCGGCTGCAGTCGAGCAGTGGCGGAGCGCCCTGGCGGGCGTGCCTCTAGGCCTACCAAGCAATGCTCTGAGAACCTTTTGTGGTCTGCACGGAATGTTAGAACATTTCTGGCCGGGGTTTTCTTGTTCTGTTTTGACACATCGGGCGTACGTCCTAAGAACATTGGTTTTGTTCTTAAGAACATGTCATGTCAGGCAGTAGACATGCTGGGACGGTCGGTCTCTGCTCAAGACTACAAACCCAGACCCCTTCGAGTCATGAAACAATCTCGATGGACTGTGTTTCGCTATCGTCAGCCTCTGGGGGCCCTTACCGGGCCTCGGGCCCGCCCAAAGAACAGCTAGGGATGCAAAGTCGGTCCCAGGCAGTGGGGCGCGATACCTGTTCGGGTTCGACGTGATGGAGAAACCATGACGTCGGGG